AAAAAAAAAAAAATATATATATAGGACCAAAAGGTGTTGCCTGAAGTTTGAATTTGGAACTAAAATGGAATCAGAATTTTTTTTTTCAGGCAGGGTCTCGAGGTGTAGTTCAGGCTGGCATTGCACTCACAGTGTAGCCCATGCTGGTCTCAAATTCACAGCAGTCCTCCTGCCTCAGCCTCCCAAGTGCACCACACCTGGCTCAGAATTCTCAAAAAGTAACTAATGTAAGGCTGTTAGTTTTCCAAAGCCTTGATAGTGCTTTTCCAATTTTCCGCCTTATGGGGCCAGTCTGCTGAAATCGTTACCCAAAGTTGTCCATCTTTCTTATTGTCAGTGTATGAAACATGCACATTCTCATTTCTTTGCAGAAGTGGGTGGAGGTGATGCTCTGAATATGTGAGCCCTGGCACGTGCCATCTGGGGACGCTCCAGAGGCTGCCGGGGCCACTGGGGGGCGTGGGTTTAGTCATACTGAGGTACAGGAATGGGTTTTCTTGGTCCAATTTACCGTGATCTTTTTGCAGCCTGCATTTCCTGGATGTTCTTGTTTTGTTCTGTTAAGATCTATCCACCCCCTGAGCTGCCCAGGGACTATCGACCAGTGCATTATTTCCGACCCGTGGTTGCCGCCACCTCCGAGAACTCCCATTTACTTCAGGTGTTATCTGAGTCAGCTGGAAAGGCAGCGCAGGAGCCAGCAACACACAGTAGGCACCAGCTGAATGCCTCCAAGCGGGGGGAGCTGCTAGGAGAGACGCCAGTCCAAGGTACGCAGCACAACAAGACTGAAGCCATTGTCTCTCGGCAAAGTCAGAAGGGAAAGCTGTCCTTGCCCCAGCGTTTTGTGTGCTTGGCCTTCTGGAACTGTGGGAACGATGTCGGTCATTGTGAACAGCTTATTACTAGTGTGCCGGCCCCTCCTCTGTCAGGCCTGTCTTTCCACTTTCAGTTCATTGTAAAATTGCACCTTTTGCCTTGAATGCCTCCATTTGTTGAAATTCAGGGGTGATCTAGGAGTGGGGTGAATGTGCCTTGGGTGCTCAGCCAGGGAAGGCGCTTGCTCCCTGGAGGGAGATGGTGGGGCAGCTCCACTTGTGAGAGCCCAGAAGGAGCAGAGGTCTGAGTCTGAAAGGAGAACGCCCTGCAGGGTGCAGTAAGAAGAGGAGCAGGCAGAAGGCCTTGGGTCTCGGGAGTCGAGTCTGAGACACTGTCATTTGGGGGCCTAAGTGGAGGTGCTCACCCCAAGCAGAGCTGTGTCCCCAGGCCCTTACCCACAGCTGCAGGGGGCCTGCCCCTTAGCTCATTTCTTTAAGTGGCTGCTTCCACAAAGCAGTCAGGCTCAGGTTGCTGTGGTTTGATCCCCACAACTCAAGCCAGCCAAACCTGCCCTGAAGGCATTCGGAGCAAAAAAAAAAAAAAAAAAAAAATCCTTACCCACAGCTGCTGTCCGGCTCCCCATGGCAGTCTCTGCAGCACCATCCAGCACTGCTCAGACAAGGAGGGAGGAGCCCTGACTCTCGCCCCGACCCCACCCTGCTCAGGCTCGGCCACCACACTGGGGGCTCTGTCACACCTGCACTCCCTGCTCCTCCCAGGTCTGGCCCGTTCCTCTCCCTGAGCTCCCCTCTGCCATAAGTGTCCAACCAAGGGTTACCCCCAGTTTCCCAGCTGTACAATAGGAGTCTGATTCTGTATCACTGTCTAGCTCCAGGGATGTGTGAGCGTAGAAGAGAAACTGACCCCTCTAATGCTCAGATCATCTCCAGTTATGTAAATTTGTGACGTTGAAAATGGCTACACAGAGAAATACAAACATAGACACCTGGTGATACTTTTCATCCCTTTTTTACTATTTTTATTCAGGTTCAGCGACTTCAGTGTTAGAGTTTCTGTCCCAAAAGGACAGAGAGAGGATCAAAGAAGTGAAGCAGGCAACTGACCTGAAAGCAGCACAGCTCCAGGCCAGGGCTCTGGCGCAGAGCGTGGCAAGCAGCAGAGCCGGGCCTTCGGCACCAGACCTGGGACACAGCTCCTGGCATGCGGCCCTGGGCGGCATGACATCCCCTGCAAGAGCCAGCAACTTTAGGCCTTTTGCTAAAGATCCAGAGAAACAAAAACGATATGAAGAGTTCTTAGCACATATGAGAAAGGGTCAGAAAGGTGGGTGCAGCCTGGGTCCTCCATGCCTCAGCCCAGGCTGGGCAGCATGCCCCCTTTTCTTACTGTCTCCAGATTTAAAGTTGAAATACCCCGCTTGGCCAGGGTTTCTGCCTGTGCTGCCACAGGTGATGCAGACATTTCAGGCCCTGGCTCTTGACCAGGGAGCAGGCTCTGGTAGGGCGCCACTCTGTAGCTCTCACTGAAGGCCTGCTGTTGAGGTGTGAGTGAGCCTGGCCAGGCGCCAGGGCTGAAGTAATTTGCTTTTTGGAGGTGACTGGCTTCTGTAAGTTCTGTGCCTCTAACCAAGGACCTTGGCCCCTGCTTTATCTATCTTAATTATCTTGTCCCAAACCATCGGCCATTGTCTGAAGTTTGACTAAAAGACATAAGTGGTCTGTGAACCATACCTGGGGAAGGTCACTGTGGGCTTTGAAGTGCGTGTGTAAGGATGGCAGGGGCAGGGCGTGCACAGCGCGGCGTGAAAGCTGGTCAGCAAACCTGAGGGGCTGAGTTTAAAATACTTGTCTTTGGGGAGTAAAGTTCATTTGTGGTGCCTTTCTTTCAGCTAACAACCCCTCCCCCCGAAAGGCTTACTTGTTAACTTAAACAGATTAAAGATGGTGCTTTTCTGCCCAAAACACAGTAGTACAGCTGGGATGAACCTAACACTCTGGGAGTGGCGCCAGGTTCCTTGCTTTGCAAGGTGTCATCATCAGTAGCCTCCCAGATGCTCTGTTCTGCTTGGTAGACAGAATTCAGTAACAGCATCGTATGGAAGGAAGGAACAGTATGACCCAGGGTGTCCCGCCGGCATGACCCCTCCCCGAGCCCACAGATGCAAGAAGGGCAGGCGCATTTGCGTGAAGTGCTCCAGAGTACAGCAGTGCCCAGCACGTCCTCCACTAAGCTCCCCTCCCTCCCCACACCGTAGATGCCCTGGAGCGCTGCCTGGACCCCAGCATGACCGAGTGGGAGCGTAGCCGCGAGCGCGAAGAGTTCGCCCGGGCAGCCCAGCTGTACACATCTTCCCACACGACCCTGTCCTCCAGGTTCACACACGCCGAGGAGGAGGAGGATTCAGAGCAAGTAGAAGTCCCTCGAGACCAAGAGGTCTGTCACCATCGTGTTCTGGCCTGGTGAATTGTATTTATTTATTTATTCATATTTATTTATTTATTGTGGAACCAGGGATTGAACTCAGGGCCCCGCACTTGCCAGGCAAGTGCTTATTCTACTGAGCCATCTCCCTAGCCCTATTTATTTGTTTATTTATTGTGGTGCTAGGGTTTAAACCCAGGGCCTTGGGCATGCTATGCACGTGCTCTACTGCTGAGCTACATTTTTAAATTTAAAAGATGGAGCAGTTAAAATGTTTTAAATCTGTCACTGAAAAGATGAAAATGCACATGGCGTAGTAGAATATGAGATGATTTTATGCTTTGGTTTCCAAGGTACTTAAGCAGGAATGCTATATATAGTAAGAGCTCTTTTATAACTCTAGACAGTTGCTTGACGATTTCCCTCTGTAGGCGTGTGAACGTGTAGGCACTGACCGACCGACTGTGGAAACGCCGCAGTGAAGGCTGACGCTCAGACGTGGAAGTGCAGTCAGGTGGGCTGTGTGGCGCCTTCCTGAACAGAGCGCCTGTCCCTTTGCAGAGTGATGTCAGTGACAAGCAATCTGCTGTGAAGATGAAGATGTTCGGGAAGCTGACCCGGGACACGTTTGAGTGGCACCCTGACAAGCTTCTGTGTAGAAGGTTCAATGTTCCCGATCCCTATCCAGGGTGAGCCC